TGACCATGGGTATCTCTCCCACCCAGACCAACAAAGGTGAGAACGATGAAACGAAAGAGCCAGCTAAATGACACAAATACACCAGCCTTGAATGTGTATCAGTAGTTTGGTTAAAGATGAATATAATTTTATATTCCAGTCAGAGGGGTTAGATGTATCCATGTTATTATTCCATTTTTAGGCTGTTTATCGGTGCAAGGGGCTCTATGAAGAGAGAGGTTGAGCTGAGGACCCCTCATACTGCCCAGGCAGGGACAGCCATCACCCTGACTCTGACTGTTCAGGCAGAAGACTTACCAGACTCAAATTATGCTGTGGTACATCTGACAGTGATACCCGAGGTAAGAGCCATCACAACATTATAGAATGTATTTCCTTTACAATAAGGTTCAATTTGTTGGTTAATAATATCAGCACCTGAGACATCAAGCGCAACGTTAGTTCTGGCAGGTCACGTTAGTCAAGCTCGCATCAGCTGACTCTCAGCTGATCCCCATCTACCTATAAGAATACGACACCTATCTAAGCATTCATATATAAGGTCCCTCAGTATAATCAGCAGTTTTCACATTGCTCAGTAGCTAATTACCCTCCTCCATCCCCAGCTCCTCCTCTGTCAGTCAGGATTCAGCCTTCTGGGCTGCGTTTCCAGAAACCTTCTTAATGCTAGGTCGTTCGTAAGTTGTACCTTTACGTTAATATGTGTTTCCCGAAACGTTCTTAGTTAAGTATACCTTCTGTAAGTAATTCGTTCGTAAGGTTGGTCTGGACCACTCTTAGCTATTCCTTATCACTTTTGACAGTTCACATTTCTTTACGTCTCATTCTATACGAATATAATAGTTGTGCAAAATCAAAGATGGTGCCGTCCGCAGAGCCATATAGTGTATATGTGCACTAAAACTTTAGAATTTTTTATTATTATTTTATTTATTATTATTACTGCCGGCACAGCAGCAAATTCAGCAGCTTTTAGATCTTGACTTGTTGGTCCGATTTTGTCGAGACAAATTCAGCTGCTGGCGGCTCTTTCTCTCTTTTTCTCCGCAATAGTAGCTGTTGATTATATGTTTCTCCTGTTGCGTTTTTATTGAGTAGGTCATCCAATAACAGAAATGAGTGATTTACACCAATATGTTATATGGCTGCTGAGCAGTCAACCCCGGTTGTGGAGTAAATTAAGACACTATATGGAAAATATATTATGAGAATATAAATGACCCTTTCAAAGGCAGAGAAGGCATACTGCCAGTTAGTGATACGCATGATAGGTTTGGGCATGAGGTTGTGGGTTCACGCACTCATTTCGAAATTATATTAAATATATCCATATTATGGATTTAGTTTGCAATTTTGATTATTTTTATAAGATCCCATGAGTCCTGATAAATACAATTTGAACTGAAGTGCTTCTTGTTGGAAAGCACTCTTACCAGAATAGTTTTCTGCTGGACTTGTGTAGGCCTATGTTTTTTAGTTTTTTGTTTTTTTGTCTTTTGTTAGAAGACGTTAAATTATTAAGCAGTGTCTCATGTTTTTCCCTTGTATTTTATGTGGTGATCACTGGGAGGTGCTCTGGGAATATAATTTTCTTTTTTAGTTTTCTTCCCTGACATGATGTATGTTGCAAAGCGAAAGTAAAAG